TGCCATTGAGACTTGGTGAGAATGTCGAGTGTTCCTTTTCCGCACTGCTTGTGTCGGTGTGTCTGTGGTGATCAACATAACATTATGTTGTGCCCAACACGTCTGCTTCCTCACACTTTTTTCAATCTATTATCTTCTCTTCTTTTTTCTCTCATTTCTGTTTTTTTTTTTTGACACAGCTATACACAAACACACACACTCTCTTGTGAGTAAGCATTCAAGAAGATCCACATGCGTCGTCTGTTGTGCACTGCGCTGCTCTTGCTGTGTTGTGCCTACGGGTGCATTGCAGCTGTTGTGCAGCCGCTACCACAGAAAGGACAGGGTCCCTGGGATACGTACACCCTCTCTGTTACTGAAACTGAACTTGAGAGGAAAAAAGAGGGTTTTCAACCCATTCGTTTTGCTGTTTCTGCCAAAGAAATTGATAGGGTGTTGAAGTACTGTAAACATCATAAAGACGGTAAGTTGGATGATGCTGAAAAAGATCAGTTAGAATATGGATTTAAAATTGATATTGAGAAACACGATGATTTCTGCGATGAGGCGGGGCCTAACGTGGTAACACCTGAAAAGAAAAGAACGCTTTTAAGAGACGTTCTTCCTGTTGCTCTCAAACTGCACAGTGAACGGCTCAGTGTTAAGCGGGTGGAGAAGTTGGAGTTACCTTTAAAGGAGAGTGTTGAATTTTCGTCCAAGTGCCCCAATGTGTCAGTTCCCAAAGAGCATAAACAAGGTATATCCGATGCTGATTTTATGTTGTATGTGGGTCTCACGGAGAAGTACGTACCGGTGCAGATATGTTCTTACGACACCCAGGAACGCCCTACATCTGCTTTGATTAAATTCATTCCCAAAGAAATTGATGATACGAGGTACTTCATTCGCTTGACTGCACATGAAGTTGCACATGCTCTTGGGTTTGAAATTGAAATGATGAAGAAGCATAATGTGATTGCGGAAGAAAACACAGGCACGAACAAAGACCAATTGGTGGCATCCAACGCTCTTATTGATAAGAAAATGAAGGAACAATATGATTGCTCTAAGGATGATGATGTTGAAATTAAAGGCATGCCTTCGGAAAACAAGGCGTCTGAAACTGGCCCGTTACACTGGAAGCGTCTGATTGCGAAGGATGAGTTGATGAGTCCGTACACCCCTGACGACAAATATGTGACTGGGGCGTACTATACATCACTAACACTTGCTGTTTTTCATTCTATGCCATTCTACAGCGCCAATTTCAGCATGGCAGAATCCATGAGTTGGGGTAAGAATGCTGGTTGTGAGTTTCTGAAGGGTAAAGACAAAGAAACGTACAAAGGAACAAAATCCAACAAGTACTCCGAAATGTTCTGCGATAAAGTCGAGCCTGCTCTACAATGCACTTCTGACCGTTTTGCACTTGGAATGTGCTCGATGGAGACGTCTGGGGTTGAGGTACATTATGAGTATGGGGGGGTTTTTGTCTCAGTTCTCACGAAACGTAGGGAGAATGACCTAATGGATGGTTATTCCATTATTAAACCGATTCCTGAGACAAGTTGTGAGGAGGATGAGTTGGATCTGATGCCTGGCAGTCTTGTGGGGAAGGAATCACGATGTTTGAAAGGTGAGGGTCTGAAATTGCAAATACCAAACAAAAAGAATCTCCCCGTTGGTGATATTTGTGCGAAAGTGAAGTGTGAGAAAAATAAAGTTTTCGTCTGGTACAATGGGACTAACGATTGGCAAGAATGCAGTGATGGTAAGAAAATTGATGTCAAGGACAGCACAGAGTTCACAGGCGGAAGCATCGTGTGCCCCAACTATGCTGAGGTATGCACTGAGTTGAATAGCACCGTTGATTTCTACATTACATACGACGAAGATGAGAAACGCCAAATGGAGAAAGAGAAACAAGAAGCGGAAGATAAAAGGAAACAAGAGGAAGAAGAAAGGCATCGCATAATGGCACAAGAGGCTCATAATGAGAGAATCCAGAGAGACGCACAGCCAGAAGACCAGACTCCACTGCATCCTGATCCGAAGCAAAACACTCCATCAAAGCCTGCGGAAGATTCTGCTGGTGACAGCAGTGGAAAACAATCTCTTCGTCCATCACAGGACAGAAACCAAAGGGATTCAGCTGGAGTGGGTCAAGATGGGGTTGTTTCATCTCTTCCAGCTGCACCTCAGTCACAACCTGCTAGGGAGGAGAATCGAGCTCTCGAGAACAGTAACAACAACAATGGTGATGAACCACATCAACAGCCTTCTATATCTGCACCAAATGTCCCCAGTGACACCAAGACGTCTGAAATGGAAAAGAATTCCAGTGAACCCGCGAAGGCACAAGATAAAGAAGTGTCCATCTCTGAGATGCCAACACATGTGGTGCCGCAAGAGGGCCCCAGCGTCCCCCAGGAGCCTGAAGTGGAAAAGTTGCCCACCACTGAGACCCCGACGCATGTCGCATTTGAATCCATTGCTGCATCGGAGCAAACTTCTTCCGTCAAGGAGGAGGGTAAGAAGAATACAGCGGAAAACATTGAACAAGTGCAAGAAACAATAACAGAGTCTCCCTCACATAATGGGAACGGTGAAGGAATAAATACCACAGTTGATACAACTCATTCCCCAAACAGTCCTGCCACCGATAATGAGAAGAATGAAACCATTGTGAATACTCACAACAACACAAGTAACACAACATCATCCAGCATTCCAGAGAATGTAAACGCATCTGCTGTTCCTGCCACTTTGACAGAACTAAACAACACTCAGATGGGACAAGTAATAAACCAGGCGACCACCATTGCTATTGTGGGTGCTGACAGCAGTATTGCCGCTTCATACCAAATCCCTCTTTTGCTTCTTTTCTCTGCTCTGGTGGCTCTGGCATCCCCATGAGTCCCATCTATACACACGCACATATATATATACCTCTAATAATAATAAACATTCTTGCTCATTACTGCCTTTTTTGACTGTGCACGTATATCCGCATATATCGCAGCCAGTTGGTCGTTTTTTTTTTTTTTTCTTTACTTGCTTGGCTGTGTTATTCGCAGCATTGGAAAACAAAAATTCTCATAATTGCTAATGGTATATGGAGTTTATTTTACCAGTTTTTTTTTGGAATAAAATAGTTTATAAATATTGCTATGCTCTCTGGTGTCCCACTGTTTGTTGATGCACGTGTGAACGTAATATGGTAGGAATGAATAGCATTAAACAGTGTATATGGATACAGACAGTTGAGATTTAAAATACTTAATAATATCTTTTTCATTAATCTTACTTTGGGGGTATATGGGTTTAGGCGCTTTCAAGACAAAAGATTCACATTCCTGCAGTTAATAATGCAGCATGGTTGTTTCTTTTCTTTATCTCTCTTTCTATCCCTTTGTGTGTGATGACCAACATGACGTTATACTGTACTGAGCATATCTGTTTCTCTTCTTTTTTTCTCTCATTTCTTTTTTTTTCTGTTTTTTGACACAGCTATACACAAACCTACACTCTTTTGCGAGTAAGCTTTCAAGAAGATCCACATGCGTCGTCTGTTGTGCACTGCGCTGCTCTTGCTGTGTTGTGCCTACGGGTGCATTGCAGCTGTTGTGCAGCCGCTACCGCAGAAAGGACAGGGTGCCTGGGATACGTACACCGTCTCTGCTCCGAAAACTGTTGATGATGTACCTGGGAAGGTCGAAGAGAATTGGCAACCCATCCGCTTTGCCGTTTCTGCCAAAGAAATTGATAGGGTTTTGAAGTACTGTGACGGTATGAAGTGCTAGATGAAGTGGGGGAAAACGAAGAATATGGATTTACGCTTGAGAATGATCAAAACGAGGAAGAATTCTGTGAGGAGCCGAAAACCAAAATGACAGATGTAAAGAAAAAAACGCTTTTAAGAGACGTTCTTCCTGCTGCTCTTAAACTACACAGTGAACGTCTGAATGTTGATCCTGTGAAGGATATGTTGAAGTTGCCTTTTAAGGAGGAGTATCCATATTTACCCAACTGTACAAATGCTTCAATTCCCAAGGACCATCGAAAAAAAGGTATATCCAACGCTGATTTCATGCTCTATGTGGGTCTCACAGAGAAGTATGTACCTGTGCAGATTTGCAGTAAGAATGAAAAGGATCGCCCTACATCTGCTTTGATTAAATTTGTTCCTGAGGAAATTGATGATACGAGGTACTTTATTCGCTTTGCTGCACATGAGGTTGCACATGCTCTTGGTTTTGATATTGAAATAATGAAGGAGCATAAGGTGATTGTGAAAGAAAACACAGGGAAGACATTCAGTTTGGTGACATCCAATACTGTTCTTGACGAGAAAATGAAGGAACAGTATGATTGCTCTAATGATGGTGAAATAAAGGGAATGCCTTTGCAAAGTGAACCCACTAAAGACGCACCCCCGCACTGGAAACGTCTTATTGCGAAGGATGAGTTGATGAGTCCATACACCCCTGACGACAAATATGTAACTGGTGCATACTACACAGCACTAACACTTGCTGTATTTCATTCTATGCCATTCTACAAAGCCGATTTCAAAATGGCAGAATCGATGAGTTGGGGTAAGAATGCTGGTTGTGATTTTCTGAAGGGTAAAGGCAAAGAAGAATACAAAGGAACAAAACCCACCAAATACGCCGAAATGTTCTGCGATGAAGTAAATCCAGCTCTGCAATGCACTTCTGATCGTTTTGCACTTGGAATGTGCTCGAAGAAGCCGTCAGGGGTTAATATACCTCTTGACTACGTAGAGCATTTTAACACAGTTCTCAAAGACACTGATGATGACCTGATGGATGGTTATTCCATTATTAAACCGACTCTTCAGACAAGTTGTGAGGGGCATCAGTTCAATCTGATGCCTGGCAGTGTTCTGGGGAAGGAATCACGATGTCTGAAAGGTAAGGAGCTAAAACTGAAAACACCAAACGAAGATAATCTCACTGTTGGTGACATTTGTGCTAAAGTGAAGTGTAAGAAAGACACCAATAAAGTATTGGTAAAGTACAGTGATACTACGGATTGGCAAGAATGCGAAGATGGTGGCAAGATCGATGTCAAGGACAGCAAAGAGTTTGCAAGTGGAAGTATCTTGTGTCCCAACTACACTGAAGTATGCAATGACTTTCCTGTGGTTAAGGATATTAACTTCACAATTGAATATGATGAGGATGAGAAAGAGCGAATAAAGAAAGAGGAGAAGGAGGATGAAGACGAAATGGAGAAAGAGGAAAAGCAACACGAAGAAGAGGAAGAGAATGAGAAAACCCTGAAAGACGCACAGCCAGAACAAGAGAGTCCAGTGCATCCTGATCCAAAGCTGAACACTTCATCAAAGCCTGATGAAGCACCAAAGGACCGGGAAGACAGTCAGGAACTTCCAGCAGCAGAAGTGACCGAGAACCAAAGGGATTCACCTCGAGAGGGTGTAAAGGAGGTTTTATCTCCTCTAGCTGTACCTGAGCCACAACCTGCTGGGGAGGAGAATCAAACTCAAAACACTAACAACAACAACAGAGGTGCACTTCCACAGGAACCGTCTTCTATATCTGCACCAAAGGTCCCCAGTAAACCCGTCAAGACGCCTGAAGTGGAAAAAAAACCCACCACTGAGATCTCCAAGCCTGTCGCATCTGAACCCATTGCTGTTTCGGGGCACACTCCTTCAGTGGAGGAGGATCACAACAATACAACGGAAAACATTCAACAAGTGCAAGAAACAATAACAGACTCTCCCTCACAAGATGGGAACGATGAAGGAATAAATACCACAGTTGATCCTACTCTTGATCCAAACAGTCCTTCCCCCGATGATGAGAAGAATGAAACCATTGTGAATACTGACAACAACACAACTAACACAACATCAAGCATTTCAGAGAATGTAAACGCATCTGCTACTGTTCCTGCCACTTTGACGGGACCAAACAAGACTCAGATGGGACAAGTAATAAACCAGGCGACCACCATTGCTATTGCGGGTACTGACAGCAGTATTGCCACTTCATACCAAATCCCTCTTTTGCTTATTGTATGTGCTCTGGTGGCTCTGGCATCCCCATGAATTCCATCTATACACACATATGTACCTGTAATAACAAACCTTTTTTGCTTATTACGGCCTTTTTTGACTGTGCACGTATATCCGCATTACATCGCAGCCAGTTGGTCGTTTTTTTTTCTTTTCCTTTTTTACTTGCTTGGCTGTGTTATTCGCAGCATTGGAAACAAAAATTCTCGTAATTGCTAATGGTATATGGAGTTTATTTTACCATATCTTCTTGGGCCCAAATAATTTATAAATGTTTTTTTTTCCTTCTTTTTCCAATTTAGGTGTCCCACTGTTTGTTGATGCATGTGTGAACGTAATATGGTAGGAATGAATAGCATTAAACAGTGTATATGGACACAGACACTTGGGCTTCAAAATTTTTGCATTGCTTCTTTTTTTATTGGGCTTACTTTGAGGTGTATATATGGGTTTAGGTGCTTTCAAGAAAGAAGATTCTCATATTGGTGTAGTTTTAGGTTTGTTATGCTGTATCGTATTGATGTTGTTTATAGTTTGTATAATGATTTGGTTGTTTGTATTGCATCTTTGTTTTTCTTCCTTTTGTTTCTTTACCATTTTATTAAGGATTGTAGAAAAGGATGATAGTGTTAATGTGCTGCCGGCAGTTGTGGTTTTGGTGTTCTCTCTGAACCCTGGTTTAACGTTCCGCATGGATCTTGTGGTTATTATTTTTTTTTTTTCTTTGGTGTAGTCTCTGGACGTGTTTGGACTAGTTTTCATGAATGGCCGAATAAAAAGCTGATTGATTTAATTTGATTTTATTTGTTTGGGATTAAATGTGCTTTTGCCATCCCTTAAGATGGCAAAGATGCCATGAATTATTAAGCAAATGATAGGGTAAGAGATGAGAAGGAGTCGAGTGGAATCGGATTGCTATAAAAATATGGTTGAACCCGTTATTTTCTTTTTTTTTGTGGGTTTTCGAGTGGCAAGGGGAACACTTTCTTGTTTTTTTTTTGTGTGTGTTTATTGCGGCATCTACACTTCAAATGTTATGATGGAGTTATTTTTTTGTTTTTGTTTTTGGGTTTCTCTGTTATTCTTATTCACTATTATTGATCTTTGTGTGGTGTTATGGATGTTGATGATGATGATAGGCTCTAGAGTGGCGGGGTATAAATATGGCTGTGTTCACTTTTGTGTTGTTTTGATTTCATTATTTGGATTGTTTTTTTTGTTCTTGTTTTTCTTTTTTTTTATCGTGGAATAGTGAACAGTGGTCGTTGTGGGGGCGTAACAGAGTAACAGTTTTTTTATTTATTTATTTATTTATTAAGTAAAAAGATAAAAGGAGAGAAGAGAAGAAAACATAATATATAAACTGAAGAGAATAAAAAAAAAACTGTAGATAGACTCTTTTTTTTTTAAAAAAAGAAGAAGGAAAGAAAATAAATAAATAAATGGAGACTGCCTCTGTTGTTGCTGCTCCAGCAAGACTCTCACGAGCCCCACCAGTAGCATTAGCCACATTAGAAAAAAGTGGATACGGTGTATTTTCTCATCCTGTGACGGTTGTGCGGACGGTGGATCTCCCCTGTGGATGTGTGACGGTGGCTGCTGGTGCTAACGTTGTCTCTGTTGGGCTCTTGACAAGTTTAACTCAACAGGAATCAACACAACGGACGAGTTCTTCACTACCGGAGGAGGTGCGTGTGTGTAAAATGTCTTCCAAGGTGGAGAGTCTTTTTCTCTCCAGTGGGATGGTGATAAGTATGAGTCTTTCCCTTCTTCCTGGTGCGGGGGCGGTGTTGGGAGTTGTGGGGACCAGTAATGGTTCTCTCTGTGTGTTTATATTAGAGAGCCGCGTGGCGGGTGGGGAGTCCCTGCGATTGTTTAAAGTGTGTGAGTTGGGACTCTCGGAGTATACGGATGGATTAATTTCTCTTGCGGATAATGTGTTGGATGTGGGAATTGGCTTTGATCCTGCTGGTCGACCGGAGTTTATTACAGCAGCCACTACAACGTGTGTGGTGGTGTTGGATACACAATACTTTGATGAGTCGTTGAAGGCAAACGCCACAGAGGCGGTGATTCGAGTCTTTCGAAAACAAAAGCCCTATACACATCAACAACAATCATCACAACAACATCAATATCAACATCAACAACAGCAGTATGTTGTGGTACGACCACCCAGTGAAGCCTTTTATGTAACCTTTGCGGCTGCAGAGGTGGTGCGAGTGTTAGTACCGGAGCGTTATCATGCGGCCTTTGCTGTAGATGTGGCTCTTGTGATTGTGCTGGATAATGGAGAAGTGCGATATGTGGAGCGACATGTTGTTGGTGGATCTCTACAATTGTTATTGCAGCATCACGAACAACGGCAATCACGGCGAAGTGCGGTGGGACTCACTATGATACAAGATGAAGAGATGATGTCTAACAATAAAGAAGATCCACGAACTCTACCGCATGTATTATATGCCTATTCTCTATCTGCAGTTACACATAATGTGTGTGTGGCTGTTGTGGGTCCACATGTGGCTGCACATGTGATTATAAATGATGCCGCATTCTATTATGATAGTTCAACGCAACAGATGGAACTTGTGTTGATTGGAGCGGAAATGCAATTTACTGAACGGTCTGGTGAGACGTGTGGGACGGCGGGATGGTGGGCAATTGCTCACGGTGTGGTCTATGCACGGGATACACTACGGCGTTTTCAAGAACAACAACATAATAAACAACAACAACAAAAGCAAAAATCACGTGCACACTCACAAGAATCTCATCCATTGGCATCTTTTATAAAAGTTTCAGGTTTTGCTGGACAAAATTCAGGAACATTGCCGAGAGATGGACGTGGGTTATCGACCTTATTGGTAACACAAGATACGATGTTGTTATTATTTGCTAGTGGCAACGAATTGCATGTATGCACATTGTCTGGAGCCGGCAGTGGCAGTCGTGGATCTTTACGGCATGTCTACAGTGCTGGATCTGTGATAACGAGTATGGCCTCTGCAGAGGCACGGGGTGCTGGGAAGTATGCATTTGTGATTGCATGTGGATCATCCATTACACATTTATTATTGTGAGAAGATTGAGGTGGGGGAACATTTGTATCACACTAGGATTATTATTATTATTGTTATTACTGATGTTGCTCTTGTTTGCGGTTGTCTCTGGTTGTGAGTGTGAGAGTGGAATTGTGAAGGTGTGGAGAATTGTATGTGTGGGATCTATTGAAGGAGAGAAGAAGAAAATGAACAGAAGGTGAGAAAAAGAGAAAGAGAAAGAAACAGAGAGAAACAGAACACCAAAGTTGGTGTGGAGGTGTTTCTCCTCTTTTGAATTTTTATTTATTTATTTTGTTAATTCGCGGAATCTCTTT